GGTTTGCTTTGTACTTCTGTTATGTGTGAGCAAAAGAGCCTTATCATTCATGTTTGCGATTAGAGTTGAATCCTACTTTTTAAATGGTCTATCACAGTAGTACCACTTCTGTTTGCTCTCTCAATCTCTTGAGCAAAATCACTTAATACTAAGAGTCCTTGCTTCTTTCTTTATAAAATGTGGATATCTTATCTTTCACCATTAGTTCCATGTTTTGTTTTAGTTTCAAGTTTATAATAATAATATTAATAATAATAATTAACTCAAAGAGGCAAAAGGAGTAAAAGGAATTTATCAATTCAATAGCTGAGAAGTCTGGGGCCTGGTGTGTCTTCAAGTACAACATAATTCAAGGACTCAGTAATGCTCTTACGAGTGTATTTGTCTCTACTTCACCAGCTGTTGAGCTATGTGTCAGCTGTTGAGCAGATAATAGTAATAGCTTATATTTATTGAGTGTTTGTTAGTGCCTGGGACTGCTTTAAGTACTTAACTCTATTTTTAAAAGTAATACAATAGCTTATTTTTACATCATTTTGTGCCTTTTTCCATCTCAGTTGTAATCTCCGTGGGCTTCCCACCACCAATTCACCTGTGTGCCATCACCATAGTCCAGTGCACTTCCCCTCCCCCATTTTTGTTCCCATTCCCCACTCCACCCCCATAAATGTCTTTAGTTGTTCATTATTATTATTATTGTTTTCTCCCCTGGTCCTTTATACTCCTGCTATGAGTGAAACCATAGCAGGTATTTTTCCTTTTCTTTCTTCTGGCTTATTTCACTAAGCATGATCCCTTCCAGCTCCATCCATGTTGCTGCAGAAGGCATGTGCTTATCTTTTTTGATTGCTGTTAACGCTATTTTAAAAATATTTATTTTATTTATTTAGCCATTTAAGAGCTGGGGTGTAGGCCAGAGGTATGGGGGGTGAGAGGATTCAGAACCCAGTTAGGCTGGTTTGAAAGCTTTGGCTTTACCAAGCTATACTCAAAATAGCTCAGCAGCCCTGAAGTAAGCATATTTCTCACAAGATGCCCAAGATTACTACCCTGTTGGAACTGGGTAAAACCTGTGAATGTGATGCCACAGTCACTGCGTCATAAGGTTAGAAGATATAGTTAAAGTGCTGCGATGGTTATTCCCAAAATGCCCTCATAGATAACTCCTGGGGTCACCCACTGGCTTTGAAGAGGTAAAGCTGCTATATTGGGAGGAGGATGCAGGTCCTGAATCTTTAGAGGGAGCATTAGCTGAGATTGAGCCATGATCAAAAGTCAGCAAGAAAATAGGGATCTCCACTGTACAGTTACAAAGAACTGGATTCTGTCAACAATCTGAATGAGCTTTGAAGAAGACCCTCAACCTCAGATGACTCCTCTCCAATCCTTTTTTCAATCTAGTGAGATTCTAAACAGAGCCTCCAGCTATAGCCCAGCTTCCGGTGTACAGAGCTGTGAAAGTAATGTTTGTAGTTTTGTTTTTTTTTAAGATTTATTTATTTATGCATACAGAACTGGGGTACAGGCCAGAGGTGCAGGGGTGGTAAGAGGATGCACTAGAGACAGAGTGGGGAGCAGAACAGGCAGGCTGACTAAGTACACTTCTGAGGCAAGCAGTGGATGGATCAGGAGAGGTCTGTCATGCCATGTGGATCATCTCCTGGGCAGGGATTGAACTCATGCTGAAGTGGCTTTAGCTTCTTAGTGCTGTGCTTTATCTTGCTGGGGTACCAGGGAAGGCCCTGTTTATAGTTTTAAGTTGCAGACCTTGGGGGTCTTTGTTATCAATACCAGCACTTTCTGTTTGGAGTCTCTAATCAGAGGAGCCCCTCCGTCCTTTTCACTTCCAGGGCCCTTTATATTAATTCTCCTGGAATGTTCACATAGTTTGCAGTCCCCTCGATGCTGTGCACAAGCGCGTGCGCGTGTGCGCACGCGCGCACGCGCGCGCGCGCGTGTGTGTGTGTGTGTGTGTGTGTGTGTGTGTGTGTGAGAGAGAGAGAGAGAGAGAGAGAGAGAATCACCATGCAAGGTCAAGGTAGTACCTTTGTGGGTCATTTATTCCACCAATATTTTTAAAAGATTTTATTTATTTATGCATACAAGAACTGGGATACTGGCCAGAGGTGGGGGCAGCAGTGAGAGGATTCACCAGAGACAGAGTGGGGAACAGAACAAGCAATACAATGCTGCGGGGAGCAGCTGCCTAGACAGGAGAGGTCTGCTGCGCCATGTGGGTCAGCTCCCTGGGGATCCAACTCATGCTGCAGTGGCTGTGGACAGCTTTATAGTGCTGCGATTTAACCTCTTGCACCACCAGAGAGGACCCTCTACTAATATTCGATTGATGTCCTGGCATGTATAGGCTGTCCTGTAATTGGCTATGGGATGAATGAAAAGGCATTCATGTGGTATGCCTGTGAAATTTTATTTTTTAAAAAGATTTCATTTATGCATACAGAAATGGGGTACAGGCTAGAGGGGTACAGGTGGAAGAGGATTCCTCAGAGACAGAGTAGGGAGCAGGACAGGCAGATGGTCAAAGTACACTGCTGAGGGGCACAGCGGGCAAGAGAGGAGAGGTTTGCCCATCACCTTGGGGGATCAAACTTGCACTAAAGTGGCCGTGGCATGGCTTGGCTTGGCAGTGCAGCTCTCCAACCGGCTGTGCCACCAGGGAGGGCCCAAAATTTTATTTTTTTAGGGAACCAGTTGGGCCTCATTGTGTGAGGATACTTCAAGAGTTGTTGGAGATACATTTCATCCCTGCGCCCCAGGACAGTCACCAGCCCAGAACTAATTTGATTTGAAATTTTAGTTTGGGGCCTTCTAAACGAGTATAGTGGTAATTCAATCTCCAAATCAATGTGAAGTTTCCCTACTCCAATGCCATTTTCCCCAGCCCACATTTCAGTGTTTTCTCAGAACATCATTTCTTTGCTTTTCATATCCTTGGAGGCACAGAGGCCTCAGAAGCCCAGCTCTGCTACTCACTAGCTGGGAACTCATTGTTTTATTTTTCTGAACATGTTTCCTTGTCTGTAACATTGGGAAAATCATTCTTAGACCTGGCAGAATTGTTTTAATAACTCCATGAAACTGTAGCATATATTTTGGGATAGCAAACGCCACGAAGTTCACATGCTTTGGGCTTTTTTGTTCACGTCCCTGTTTCAGGTAGGCCCAACATAATTTAAATGTTCGATAAATTCATTGTTTTATGGAAAGAATTCAGTACAGTGCATGGTTGAATAGTAGGTATTCTAAAAATGGTAGTGTTCGTTTCCTCCACTTTGCAAAGGAGGAAATTCTCCTGAAGGTGTCTAATTAGGTGTTCTGACTCAAAATCCAGGGACTCCCCGGGTTAATGGCCCGATCTTTTAATAAGGCAGGCAGACACGCAGTGGTCACTCTGATCATTCTCAATGGACATCCTTAAATGCAACACTCCCAAGAAAAGGCAACATTGCAAACATTTAAAGGGAAGTCAGGTTTCCAACAAAACCAGGAAGAACCAAATTCCAAAGCAAACAAACTCAACTCATTCTCTACCCTGGGGAGGGTGTTCACCCCCTTTCTGCTAAAGATAGAGCGTGGGCCCTCCCCGGGAACTTCCTGGCTTTTATTAGTTTGTAATCCCAAACGTAACTTTTCAAAGGTTTTTCTTTTTGGAAGTGTGGGTGTGAAACTGCTTCCCTAATCACATCTTGCGAGGCTCTCCGAACATCTGTATATTATTTAAAAACTGAGCATCCGGTCGGGATGTTGGGTGGGTGGGGGACTCAGGTTGGCGGGATGAAACAGCAGGGGCACGTTATTAATATGTCAGGATGGCTTTTAAACAGAGGCAGAATTAGTCGAAAATTACAAATGCCTAATTACGTTGGCTCAATTACACGTTTAATTAAAAGCCCGCCTCCCCCACTTTTAGTATCCGCGTAAGAGGAAAAAATAGGGCCTTTAGAAGCCTAAAGGATAAGGATTTTCTCACCACGAGCGGAGAACAGGACTCACTACAGATTAAGCCCCGTCCTCTCATTTCCCGGGACGCCTTTTGGATTGCTAAAAAGGCTGCCGCTCCCGGGGTAGCTGCCAGGAAATCGGTCCTACCCCGCGGCGCCGCTTTCACCCAGCCGGGGATAACCGGCACGCTTTCTGAGTCCTCTCCATTCCTAGGCCGAATTGCGGGAACCTTCAAGTCTGTAGAGTTGCGAGTTGGGAAACTCTGTCACCAGTTCTTCATGGCACCTAGAACGGGGTAGTGGGCTCAGAAGGGGTGGATTTTGCAAGCCTAGGATCGATATTCCTCCATTTCCCCCCCTCTCCACCCCCTATTCGATGATTCGGCCAATGGAAACCCGTGAAGGAAAAATTAAAATCAACTCAGCCTAGTGCAAAGGCCGCTCTGCTTTGTTTCCAAGCTAGGGGGGGATGCGCCGGGCTAGGGGCGCTGAGTAGGGAAAGCGCGGGGCGCGCCCTGTCACAGCACTGCCTAGGCAATGGAGCCCTACAGAAGATCCCCCTAGTCCAGCTAGCTGTCCCCTCTCCTCTGATCCGAGCATCCCCGCCCTTCCCGCCCCAGTTCCGAATTCGTGAACTCCGCGGACCAGGGGAGACCCTGCTAAGCACGCGCAAAGCGCGGTATCTTTAAGAGCTCAAAGAATGGTAATCTGAGGGGTACAAGACGGGTGGTTCCGGAGACTGCTGGCCTCCTCTGTCTCTTTGAGACTGGGCTAGAGTTGCCCGCTTGCCCCCTTCAAGCTGCTACAGCAGACCCCACAGGACCGGGGGAAGCACGCAAAACCACAGGGCAGCGGAACCCTCGGAGGCGGGAGCGGAGCGCGGCTGCTTTAAGAGCGCGGAGCGCGCGTGCTTGCCGCGGGCTGTCCCGGCGGCGCGCCCCCGCCACTGCCGCGCGCCCCTGCTCGTGCGTCGCCGCCGCCGCCGCGCGCCCCCAGCTCGTTCGCTCGCTCGCTGGCTTTAAAGTCTCAGCCAGGATCCATGCTCACATGTTACTTCCTGTATGGAGGCATGGCCAGTTTCCAGCCCCGCGCTCCGCTTTCCTCCCCAGCCTGCACCGGAGCCACAACTTTCAGGAGCATGGACTGAAGGCGCCCTCGCCTCAGCGCCCCTCTGAGATCCTTTGTATTTTCCTCCGTTTCCTCTGGCGGTTTCTATTTTGGGGGGCTCGTCGCTCCCCCCGCCTCTCCCCTCCCCTTCCCCGCTCGCAAACATGCCTCCTTCCTTCCCGGGGCCCTGGAAGGAGCTGCCTGCCTGAAGCCCAGAGACGCTGCGCCGCGCTCAGCCCAGTCGCTGCGCTGCCGACTCAAGTTGGGGATCCTCGGCTGGTCGCCGCCGCCGCCACCCGCGGTCTCTGCCCGCCCGGGGCCCCAGGCATCGCAGCCGTCCGCCGACTCCTCGCCCTGCCCGCTCGACTTGCTGCCTTTTGAACAGAAAGCAGCCTTTCTCCGCCGAAGATCGTTCCCAGCGTGGCTCCGCGTTCCCGGTCACTTTTTGAGATTTTTTCCGGGGGACGCCCGGCGTCTTCCCGGATTCAGGGGGGACTCGGGCCGCGCAGCGTAGGGGGCCCGTGGAGTGGGTGAGCACGGGGAGAGCCGGGTTTAGCGGAGGCTCGCACGGAGGCAAGAACTTATTCAACAAGTTTACCCCCCCCTGCCTTTCTCTTTTCGATGTGCGTTTTCGGACATGCGGAGGTTACTGGAACCGTGTTGGTGGATTTTGTTCCTGAAAGTCACCAGTTCTGTGCTCCATTATGTCGTGTGCTTCCCCGGTGAGTGCTGGCTGCCGAGGGGACGCGGCCAGGGCCGGCGCGCGCGGGGGATGCGGAGTTGTCGCCGGGGCTCGGAGCTCGGGCGCCCATCCCGGAGACCCTGGAGAGGATGGAGGGGGTCAGGGTGCCCGGGGAGGAGAGTGGGGTCCCCGCTGCTGGCCCTCGTGGCTGGGGCTGGTGGTTGGGGAGGGTGGAAGCAGGAGTGGCCGGTGAGTGAAGGAAAGGGACCGCAGAGCTCTGCTCTCTTGTGCCTGGGGGACCTGGAGGTCCCCGAGAAAAAGGGTCCTTATCAGTCTCTGGTGCGGAGAGCGAGGGCTCTGGGGAGGTTGGAGACAGGGGCCATTGGGAGGGTTTCTCTGTGGATTGGGGCCCCAGGGTGTGCCTCCCGCCCAGGTGGGGAGTGAAGCTCGGTAGGAGAGACTTGCCCTTCTGCTTCCAGACCCTTTGGAGAGGCTGGCGTGTTGTGTGGAGTAGGGAGGGGGTGAGATGGGGGTAGAAATCGGTGACTGGCCTTGGGGGATTGGGGTGTTAGGAGCAGTCTGTTTTGGTCTCGTGGGCCGGAGCGCGCCCCTCTCGGGGCTGAGGCGCGGGCTGCGCTGCGGTGCCCGCGCGAGATAGCCTCCCCAGGCGTGGGGCCTGGGACGCGGTGGGAGGGCAGGGATCAGGCATTTCATTGAGACCCGTGATTCTCAGAGCTCCGGCTAACGGCCCCGTTTACCCCACAACTCTGCTCCTGGGGCCCGCTCGGGTCTCCTCGCTGAGCGGGGGGAGGGGAGGCGGGTCAGCGACTGGGTTGCTGTTCGCGCCCAGGCGTATTTCTTCCTGTCTCGCGCGCCCTGCCTACCTTCCAGTTTGCCCTTTTGCAGGCTGTGCGCTGTTGGCGGACCCAGACCGGCTCCTTTCTAGCTAGGTTAAGACGGGAACGGTATATTGGCCGTTGAGAAATATATCGCTGCACGTAGAGGTGTGCGACTCGCTGACCCTCTACTTGAAACCTCCAGTGACTGACCCTCCTCTCTTCCCTTCTCTTCGGGAGGGCAGAGGCCAGCAGCCTTTCTATTCCCTCATCCCCCAGCCCCCTTGATGTCTGGACCTCTCATCTGGGGCTGAGGCCATTCTTTGCCCTAGCCCGGGGAAAGGGTGGGAAGAAGGGAACGATTCGCTTTTCAAACGTCCTCTCCCAAAGACAGAGAACCCGGCTTTTCTGCTCTCTCATCCACCAGCTCCTGCTCGCTCGGAGGTGACTTGGTTATTGAACCAAGAAAAGGGACGTGCCCCGAGGTTTCTGGTCACAGCCTCCTGTCCCTTCGCGGACCGAGCGCACGGGTTTGGTGCAGCGGGTACCCCGGCTCTGTCGTGCGCCCTGAGCGCGGGCGCTCGCGCAGCCCTCGCGGACTAGCAGCGAGTGTCTCCTTTGCTGGCACGGGGATGGCCTTGAGGGGCAGAGAGGTAAAGCACAGTCTTTTCGTCGTTATCCCCCTTCCCCTCTGCGCATCCTCCTGCTTCCGGAACTGCTAGCCACAGCTCAGAGAGCCAGTTCAATTGCCGAGGGGAAGGGCGCGTGTTCCCACAAACCCTGAGGCCTGGGGTGTGCCCATCTGGCTCCTGCTTCCACAGGAGGTGGGGGCCAACCGAACTTTACTCCTTACAAATGCCCTCTACTCCTTAAAAGACTGCAGCTCAACATTTGTGTTAGTCATTTGCCTCTTTTAGACTTTCTTCTTTGCCGTGTACTTGCCGGTCGACTGGACTCAGTTGTGCACAGTGGGTCAAATTTTATAAGGGTCCGGCTTTAATAGGGACAGTAGGAGGCAGCAGGAGAGCAAACAGCCGTGCGAAATAAGTGGAATTTCGGATTCTACATTAACCTTTTTTGGCCAGTGTATTCACTAGGTGAACTGGCCGTGATTTTCTTTTTCTTGTTACCGGAGGAAGCGTGAAATGCAACATAGGACCGTCAGTGATACAGCTTTCCAGGTGCTTGGACAATTTCCTCTTCCTCATTTTCTTTTAGTGCCCACGCTGCAAGGTAAATAGCTCCCTTGCCCGGGAGCAGACGAGTGAGGTAAAGGGAAGGGAAGTGGTGTGAAACTCAGGGCAGAGGGACTTTGGTTGAAAGAGTGGCCGCTGGAGAAGGGTACACAAACGCTGGAAAAGCATTTGGAATCCAGAGAAGTTAAAATGTCATAGTCCTGGAAGACTCAGCCTCTCCCTTCTCAGAAGGTGTCGGGACGCCGCTGGACCTCAGGGGGCGCTCCCGAGCCACTTTTCGGGCTCCTGCTACCTTCACTGGCCCGGGTCTTTGCGGCGGGGCAGCAGTGCTAGTGTGGTTGGGGCCCAGGAGGTTGGGTTCCTAGGTTCTGCGACTGTGCATGCCCCTTGGCGCGAAGCGGCCTCAGTTTCCAGCCAACTTGAAACTAGGCGGCAGCCCAAGTTTGTTTTGGGACACCTTTTTCTCCTGACATAACCTCGGAAGCGTTTTTTTTTTTTTTTTCCTGGTTTACACCAAGAGTAGAAATTCTTCTTGTTTCAGCTTAAAGTCCTTGTGAGAACTTAACGAAAATCCCTTCTTATTTTATTTGTTTCAGAGATACACCAACTTTTCCATTGCATTTGAGTTCTCAGATCCTGTTTAGAATCCATGGTGGCTGTGATTTGGAAGGGTTTTGGAAACAGCCCTGGCACGAGCCTTCCCCAGCGGATCAGAAACTGGTTTATAATCTCTCAATAGCGAATGGCAGGGTGAGACCCTGTCGCGGTTATTGTTTCAAGTGGTGCTTCCACTTTCCAAAGCCGAAATGTTGGCAAACATGATATAGAGCATAGCGTGCTCTCTTCGCCTACATCTTTTAACAAATTACTGTATTATGGAAAAACTCTTGAAAATAGAAAAATATAATGGACGCCCCCCTATTATCAACTCTTCCATGTTTTAGACCACTCCCTCTTTCCATGACACCTCATTTTAAAGCATGTTGAAAGCATTCACACACATACTCCATTTAGGCATTGGGTAGGTATTGCTAATCATTGAGGATTTTATGTTTCCAGTAGGATATAAAATGTTACCAGGGGTTAACATTTCATGTAGTTTACATTCATTAGCTATTCAGCAGAAGCTTAAATATTTTTTATTGATTTCTTTTTCTTTCCTCAGATTGAAACATTTCTCTTTGATTCTGATATGTTTTGTGCCGTAATTACATTACATCTAGAAGGCTGATGTTGGAAACACTTAATTTGGATAAGCTTTGTTGTGTTCCTTGGATGTGTCAGAATCTGAGGAGTCATGATTGATGTCTGGTGAATTTCCCTTAAGCCATCTTAGTGTATTTGCATGTTCGTGCTTTAATACTATTGGGCATGGGGTATAGCCTTATTAGAAAATGCAAAAGTAGTAGCTGTAAGTCAGCAATCTTGTACGTAGGAAGGAAGGGAGAAATCATGCAGTCCCCTCCTTCAAATGTATTGTTTGAAAATGAAGACTCTTTAATCCAGTCCCTCTGACACACTAATGGAATACAATCTTTGATCTTTCTGACTAACCATGTTCATATTATAGAGTTGATGAAGTTAGAACATTAATATAAACAGGCATAACAGGACCTTTTGGAAATAGCAGAGGTTGCTATTGCCAGAGGCAGAAAGGTTATAGGAAAGGTTAGTAGAAATAAGAAAAAGAACTATCCAGTAGTGAAACTTTGAGTATCTCCCCTTAATTATGGACCTGTTTTCATGCTGTGATAGGGAATGCTGATGACTTAATTCAGCAAAACAGAAGAACCCTTTCAGATTAACTTTTCTGTTATTCTGAAAAACTCTCAAGTTAATGTAGTGTACTCAGTTGTGTAGCAGTATACCAATTGGAATGAACTTGCCACTTATGTCAGATAATTTAAAATGCCCCAGAGCATAGTTACTAGGGACAGGCTATTTTACTACCTTCTCTATTTTTTCTGGAAACTTGACCAAAATGACAACACTTAAATTAGTCTTACACGTAGGTGAAGAAAGCAAATTAAATATTGCTGGTATGTCATTGCTTTCTCTTTCCTATTATGGTGAGAATTGTTTTTTTTTAATCAGAATTTCCACTTAATATTTTACTGATAGCACGCAGGACAACAGTGTCATTTCAAAGTGGTACAAAAATTAAAACATGAGTGTGCAATCTGAATTACAAGGTTTAAAATATTATGGTGAGCATTTTCATCCTGAGGCACATCTTTCATGTCGTCACAGTTCATAAATCAAAGCTTAGGAGGGAAATTCAGACCATCTGAAGTTATCTCAAGAGTGCTTGATTGATTGATTGGTGTGTTTTTGGTCACGGGCTGACCACTATGGGGTGATGGGTGGTAATTACTGAAACTGCATTTTGGCTATATCTGTACAGAATAAAAGACCTGTGTATTTGGTAATATTAAGGAAGGCAAGGCATTATGCCCGGTCCCACTTTTAGTTCTGCTGTGCTTGATGTAGGCGAAATTTGGGTTACTGAGGGGCTCTGGAAAGTGAGAAGAGCCTGCCCCCAACAGGCTGTGAGATCTTGTGGAATTCAGCGGCAGTCACTGAATTTGTTTCAGAATGACAAGTGCATTAGGCCCTCTCAGGAAATATTTGCAAGTGATTCAAGCTGAGATACCTCTGGTTCCCTGTCTGAGACGCTGGAATAAGTATCTAGTTTGCAAAGCACTGAACTCAGTATTGTGGCAGTGTTTCCTGGACATAGAAGATCAAATACACGTGTGTATAAAAAAAGTTATTTGTTGAATGTTTTGACTTTTTTTTATATTGTGATGACACAGTGTTGTAACCAAAAACAGCACTCCAAAAAAAGATGGGTGTTTTAAAAGCTCTTTTAACTTCCCCTAGTTTTTTCCTATAGGTTCTCAAAATTTGATTGAAACTTGTCCCAAATTTCCAAGACCACAGAATTGTAAATGTTTTTTTTAAAAAAATACATCTGGAAGTATTGTGGGTGAGATTTATCTTAGAAA